AAATTATACCCTGATGATAGTAATTCAGCAAGAACTAATTGCATATGTGTCCAGGTAAATTTCTGTCACCAGTTTATAAAGACTTTCAGAGTTGCAATAAAATCAACGATGATGAAAGAAGATTACAAAAATCTGTCTCTCTAACCAACTTGAGTAAGTATCACTATTTGCTTTCTCCAATCAAACTCTCCTAACTCTTATAAGTTGTCATTTATAACCCCATACTCTCATAACTTCACAGGGTTAGATCAAATTAAAAGGTGAGATTCAATAACCTCCAGTGACATTGACTTTCTTTCAAATATTTTATATTCACCCATTTTCTTTTACTTCTTCTTGTCCAAGTTTTTAGGGTAAGAACTTGAAAACTGTCAAACAAGAAATCCAGGAGCAAAAACAGGTTGTATTCTGTTTTACTGCTGGACTATTTCTTATAAAGACTTTGTCAACTTTTTAAAAAATTATTCTTGCTGTTATTCTCCCAACATTTATAGTGTTTGTGTTGGTTCCAATGCCATAATGGGAATGTTTATTTAAATAGAATACATTTTTTGGCACAAGGCCAAAGGGAAGTGCTGGTCATCACTCACTATCATACACCTGGCTAATCTGATTCACAACCCATTCATTCTTACTACTGACTCATTTACCACTAGAACACATCCTTCTACACCCAATCCGACATTTACCAAAATACCACATATTCACAGGGATCCTACACAGAAAATCCCATGACAAAAATTTGATAATATACAAATTGTCTTTTTTCATTTTTATTACAAAATTATATAAAAATATATATTATGATATGAGTGGGTAGGGGATAATCCTATATAAATAAAATACAATATTCAAACTAAAATATGTTAGCAAGACCCAGCTACCTGACAGAAAAATAAGAGTGGCCACTGTATTCTGCCAATATGCAGAATCAAATGTCACATGCAAGACAAAAAAAAAAAATAAGATATAGAAAGGCAAATGGAACAACAGGAAAACCAACTTTTATAGTAAACAAAAAAAAAAGATTTTATTGTAAATTTAGTGATTTGGTGAGTCATTAAAAATGAAAACACATAAAAGTTTACTGGCAAAAAGTTAAAAAATACTTTAAAAAAATAACTTTGGTCAGGCGTGGCAAAGAGCAGCAATGGTCACCCTTGAAATATTAGTAATTATAGTAGTATAGAATTTTGTTTATAGATGAGAAAGATAATCTGTGGTGAAGTTTGTGCGCTTCGTCAAACTTATTAATATAAAATGTCAAAACAATAGTGTTTATATGAACTATGGAATACCAATTGAGAAGAGACTGCTTGTTTAATCATGTGGGGGGAGAGGTCAGTAATCAGGTTGTATTCTAAATTACCACACCCTGGGGTTTTTGTCGCTAGTACTGTGTTTATTTAAGCGCGTGTTTGTGTGAAATCAGCCAGTCAAGAAGAATTAAGTGAGGGTCAAGTCGGCCAGAGTCAAGTCAATAGAAGTTGACAAGAGAGAGAGATAGGCAGTGAGAATTAAAGCATCCGCTTGCTGCTGTAAAAAGGTTAATGCTTGGTGTGTGAATTAATTATGGCCACTACTAAGAACAAAAAGGTTGAACTCAAAAGCTACTTCTCTCCTTTCAGAATTATTTGCAATATTTGTTTTTTTTTTTCCTGGACTTTATTGCTTATATACTACTTTCTTGTAAAAGAAGCATTATTCTTTTAGTACCAATTTCTTTCCTATATACATTACATAAATTTTTCTTTGCGCTCAAATCGACTTATTCATATTTGATTTTTCTGCTTGGCCTGATTCTTGACCCAACGAACTTGCAGGTAAACCAGCAAATCTTCAAAGATCTACGATTTGTTAATCACTCTCCTGGATCAAAAAAATCACAATGTGCCTGGAAAGTGGAATTGAATCGACATTGTGAACCTGGAGACTTTGATTGAACCTGTAATACTGGACCAGGACAGGACCAACAGCCGGTTTTGTAGAGTACAATGATCCAGTGGGGCCAGGATAGGTGTTACACGGGAGTTCATTGCAGTATAGTTTACATGTCAGATCAGCAAATTGTAGCAAATAAACCTCAAACACACCATGAAGGAGACATTATCACACACGTATGCAAGATCAATGAACATGAGATGTTTGGGCTCAATATGGACAAACATGAGGACAGTGGAAGAAGGCATGTACAGCTGTTTCTTCTAAATCACTATTATACTGGTGATAATCAGGCAAATCTGACCAGCCTGCTCTGAAACCCATGTCATTGAGAGAGAACAACCAAGGATTCAACCCACCCAAAAGATACCCAAAAGACATTAAAAGAAAGGAAAGGAGAGAAAACCCTTGGAAGTGCTGAATAGGACTGTGACACTATTTAGCTATGGTAATTGGCTAACTAATTAACCATAGAAATTAAAACAAAAAATTGACATTCTTAAAGACAAAAGAAAGAGCTATAACGAAAGATAGACTGATTGACATTAAAAGAAAGATTTGATTTTATTTACAAAAATAGCAGCAGAAGAAGCCACATGTGAGGTCTTGTCCTGTCAAGTTATCGCTGAGGGAGATAGAAAGAAAGGCAAATATAGAATTATCAGCCAAAATATGTGTTGATCATAAAAATTTTGGTTGGAGACAGGCAGTGAAAATCAATTTTAATTATCTTTCCAATATATCGTTTAATTTTTTTTTTTTTGGATACAGGCAAAGAGAAGCAATGTGGCAATTATAAAATTTTGCCATTGTCTCGATATAGTACTGTACTGTACTGATGCGGCATTCACCCTGGGCGGATTGAGCCGGCTTCTTCCTGTTATGAGAAGAAGATTCTTGGGATAAATTACAGAAATAGGGTACCCAGGCCTACTCGGATAACGTTCTTGCTTGCCGCGGGGTTCCCACAGACGCAGAGACAGGAACGACCAGAAGCCACTGGTTACCGATGCAGACACTCCTTGGATTTTCACCAGAGCCCTTATTAGCCGGCGTGTGTGTCAGACCTGTCCGCCTTGGGTGGCCCTACCAGGAACGAAGTTCCGGGCGGCATAGCTCTGACACTACCGTTTACACCCCCCCACCGGCTTACAGTACCAGGTGTTCCAAAGCGGTCCCCCATCTAAGTACTGACCTGGCTCTACGATGCTTAACTTCGGTGATCGAACGAGAACCGGTGTTTCAGCGTGATTTGACCGTAAGCTCGATATAGGTGAGAGGATTGTTATCATTTACTTTGCCAACAGACGCTAAGATGTCGAATGGCAATGTGGCAATTGTAAACTTTCGGCAATCTCCAGAAAATAGTGGAGAATAGAGATCTGACGAGTTAAAACGAATTTAATTTCTTAACAAGTCAAGGATTCCATGATAAGGCTAACTTGGTGTAGAGAACCAGATGGCAAACTTAGACAGTGATTAATGAGATGGTAAGAGTGCTGGATAAGTGACTTTTGAGTGGCCCAGGAAAAAGAGAACATGTGATAAAAAACTTAATTGGCAAGGAGAATTTTGTAAACAAAAATTCTAGATTATAATTTTAAGGAGGCCAGCTTAGCCACACCCACACTGCTGAGAGATCATTGGTCATATGGTAGCATGGTAATAGGCGGAGGTGAATGGATGAGAAAATAAGTCCTGTTCACCATTTCTGCATGAGAAGGGATTGGTATGAGATATCAATGTGAGAGAGAAAGTGTCACAGGACCAAAAAAAAAAAAAAGGTAAGGACTTTAGTCAAAAGAATATATTGGTCTGAAAAGCTGAAGATAATTTACAAAAACAGAGAAACAGCACCCTAACCCCAGGTAGGTCACTTTTTGGTTTCCCTCAATTGTGGTGCATGGAGACAGCCAGTAGAGATTTAGTGTCACCCTCGTCCTTCAACTTTGCCTCTAGTTGAGGAACACCACCAGAATAAATGAGTACTGCTGAGTCGGAGATCACAACTACGAGGGTGAAGCTACGGTCCCCAAAATAACAACGACCTGCTGGGCAGGATGAAATTGCCCACCCACTGAGGCAACCCAACTGAATTCCACAATTGGATGATAGCTGTCCAAAAGAAACAGCTAGTATATGGGTTGACAGACCATTAGACAGTGCTGTTAGCATATGAGGCAACAGCAGAACCCGTGTCAAATTTTAGCAGGGGCCTATAGAGGGAGAGACCCCAGATAACCTGGGACAAGCTAAAAGGAGCCCTGACCCGACGTCATGCTAGCAAGAAAACAACCATAGAGGTGGTTCGCAAATTTAGAATTAGACAGGAGGTGGGGGAAACTTTAGAGGACATTGGAGCGGGGTTAGCATTCCCGAAGCCAGAGATAAAAGAAAATGGGGCAATTCAAGCATTGCTGGTGGACGCTTTCATGGACACCATCCATGATGATGACGTAAGAGGTAACGTCCTGAATGGTAGGCCCTGTAGGCTGACAGAGGCTCTAGAGGTAGCCAAGAGCAGTGAAAGGATCTGGCAGAGGATAAGGAATAACAGGGACTAGGGGAGCTGAGGATCCAGGGGTTGGAAGAATAAAGGGAAAGGCTCCAAAAATGGAACAGTGGACACAAAACCCTGTAAGGACGAGGAAGAAGATTGGGAAGCTGAGGTCGATCCCAACTAGAAGGGATGGAATGTACAGATGCTAGACTTTCGGGTATGGAGGACACAGAGCTAGAGACTGTCCCACCAATTGGGGAGGAGACCCAAGGTCTCTAGCTCCAAACTGCACTAAGTGTGGAAGGTTTGGCCACAAAGTGAGGTGGTGCACAGATGCAGGGGATAGGAAACTAAGAATTGAGAAAGTAAATATCCTAGTCCCCCCCAAAGAGAATAATAAGTGTTCAAGAAACAACGATGGGACCCCCGTAGAGAAATAAGAGGCAGTGTGGCCTTAATAAAAATAAGACCTCTGAGGTGTTGGACATGTGGTGTGGCTGGACATTTTGCAACCAACTGTAAATTACGAAGGTGTTAGCAATATGAAAAGGTTGAACACTTAAGAAAGAATTATCCGGAGAAAAAGGGGGCTGAGAGTGGAAAGGGAGAGACAAGAAGGACAAGAAACCAGTCCCCACTCCACCCAAAGAAAGTCCCAAGAGAAACCAGCCTAGAGTGACAAATGATGATCCCCTATTGCCAGCACCCATGTTGAGACTTGAGAGAAACAGGGATAGCCAACAGAATCTTGGAACAGAAAGAAGTGATTGTAAGGCTAGGTAAGGCACCCTTAACATTCCTCACCCACAGTAAATCTTCTGTCAACACACAGCATAAAAAAAAAACCAACATTGAGGTTTGTCAATGACACACCAAGTGTGGCATTCACCACCACCCCCAATAACACAGACACTAGACGCAAACAGCGTGGACTTGTGGCTTGCCTCAAGGGGGAGAAGAGCAAGCACTTGATCGCTTTCCTACAGAATGTGCAGAGAAGGGGTACTCATATTCGGGAAAAGGTGAGGAGAAATATGTACATGGAACACACCTCAGCCCTACCCTTTAAGGACAACTGCCAAGCCAAGTCCAGACCGATGCTACTACCTTTGCCAGTATCTCTGACCAATTTTTCTCCAGCTAGAGATCCGGCCCAAACCACACTCCAAGAATGCAGACAGGACTGTCAATCGAACTGAAGGTCCTACATGCCAGACAAAGACAAAATTCTTTTCATTGAAAATAAGTCCTGTTCGCCATTTCTGCATTTTGACTCCAGTTCTGGTTCACTATGTCTGCCACAAATTTGTAAGCCAGATCATCAAGTCCTGGACATTTGCCACTGTCAACCATCTTCAATGTCATGGGGATTTCACCCTCAGTGATTGCATCCTTGCAGCCAGCCTCTTCAGTCAATGACAGTCAAGGAAAGTCGGCTAAATAGCTGCTAAACTATTTGTCACAGAGATTGGGCTCCTTGGTGAATCAGTTCTGGAAAAGCTGCCCAGAACCTTGAAGTATTTCTTTCTCAATTCTACACTCATGTTCACAACTTTATTACACATCTTGTTTGACCTGTTTAACTACCTGACCAACTGCTCCAATGCCTGTGTCTATCTAAGCCTGTCTCTAGGGAAGCCCCCAACCTATGCCAGACTATTTCTAAGTACCTTCACCTTGTTAGCCTTCTCTAGGGTGAGTTGTTGGCTAAATACAGTGGTGAAAGACCTAATCCTATCCTTAAGCCTCTCCCACTGCTTATTCCCAATAACCACTCCACTAACTCCCACTGAACTAATCTAATCAGCTGGAGCCAGAAGTCCTTCCTGTTCAGGAAGGACACTGGAAACCTCCAGTGTCCAACTAATCCAGGCCTAGTCTAACACCATCCAGACACAAATGAGTTTGTGGCCTGAATAAACTAGTGAAATATACAATCTAGTAAATCTAGATCAACCCTTCTCACTAACATTCAGGTAGATAACTACCAGGGTAAATAGCCACTTAAGAGCCCACACCCACATCTCCCACACCGGGTGATTAACCTGATATCTATCGAGGAGACCAAACTCGTTAATCAGATCAACCAGGCTACAATTACTCAACCTCCTGCTAACTCTCTGCTCCCTAAGTTAGGGGTCAGGATGACATTCCAGTAACAACCTGAAAAACTATTTTGTTTTAATTTTTTTTTTTTTAAATTTAATTTTCCTATGGCTTGGACAATTTTCTAGTTTCCAAGGAGAATTTAAATGTACATTCCTATCCTTTTTAATTGGCATAGCACAGTTGTATGGTCAACATTAAATTGTTCTGCAATTTCCATCAAGATAATGGTGGGATTGTCTGTGGCAATGACTTCCAACTCTTCAGAATCAAGTCTTTTTGGACAACCCTCTTTTCAATTGTCTTTCAAACCCAAATCCCCACTTTGGAAATGGGAAAACCACCTCCTGCAACTTCTTTCATTCACTGCATCATCTCCATAAGCGCTCTAAATAGACTTTGCTGTTGCACTTGCATTGACACATTTATGAAACTCATACAGTAAGATATATTGAATGTGATCTTTAGATGGGACAAACATAGGTGCGAATATTGTGGAAGATCATGAAAAATAATTTTATAATCTAAAAGAGAAAGGTATAAATTACTTATTGTGATATTTCTTAACCATAACAAGAAGTACAAATTTCATAAATGCTATCTAAAACTTTCTTCTCAAAAATCAGATATTACTTTTGCACCAACCTGATAGATATTAGTTTATAAGTGCCTGCACATTATTTTTTGCAAGTATATAAAAAACAATCACTAACAAACACAATCTACACAGAGTATAAAAAAATGCATACACACACTGAATACTTAATATAGTATCCATTAAAGTTTTAGCATTCAAATTTAGAATCATTTTGAGTTAAGTGATGATTGAGAATGTGGACCAAATGGAAGTGCAAACATTACAGATCACTACATTTGTAATGGCTGCTTTCATTTCCTTGATAGTTACCAATTTTGCACAATAAACCATGAAAAAAGTGTAATGGCTTGAGATTGGTGAATAAAGATGTTATTCAACATCTTTGCCCAATTCATCTGTTCAGATTTTCATCATGAGTCAGAATCAACTTCATTGAGGGTGCAAATCAAGTTTTTCCAATGGGCATACTTAAAAATACAACAGATACACAATTTCAATTTTCTTTTTTTTTTTTTTTACATATGTTATCCCCACTTATTTAATTTCATGAAATTTCGCAAAATACCTTTCTATTTCCTGAATTTTTTTTATTTGTTAAAAGTAAGACTCCTTGGAGAATGTAAATCACCTAATATTTTTTTTTTTTCAAAATTTCACTAGTCTAACTGAAAATCTGCCCTAAATTGAAAAATAATAAATGCAATAAAACTGATATTATTTAATTAGAAAAACTTTTAATTATTTTTGTAAATAAGTTACATTAAGGACACTATTGTGTGAAGAAATAAAATTTTTCCCATGAATAATAAATTTTTACAAGAATTTTTCTTTTTTTTTTTTTTTAATTTTAATAGTTTCAAAATCATGTAAAATTCTGTATTGGGCTATTTCCCAGATATGATATAGTAATTAAGTGGAAACAAAATTTACAAATCCAAAACTGAAAAAATTAATAAACGTAATTTTACTATTCTATTTTTTTACTTAATTCGTTCCCTTTTTTCAACTATGGAAGGTTAACTGCGACATTATTATGAAAAGGTCACATGATCTAAGAGTGTAGTATTTTAATTTTTTTTATTTTTGCATAAAGTATCTTCAAAGGGTAAATAAAAGTCAATAAAATATTAGATAATTGCAAAAAATATGTTCATTTGTAAAAATTACTAGGTAATTTGTAAAAAAAAAAATATGCGTTCACTTAGATTTCATAAATTTATGTCAATTATGGTCATCCATATGACCAATCATCATCTCAAAAACTTACTGATATTTCAATAAAGATCAAAGAAAGATAGGAGCCATTATTAAGAAATGATTGTATATTACTTTTTTACGCTATATGTAATATTTATTTCAAAACAGATTAATTTAACTTTAAATTTTCTAATTTTACTCAAATAATGTGTCAGAAATATATATTTCTTTTTTGGAAGAGTTTTAAAATTGATAAATTTTTGTTTACAAATTTCTTAAATTAAGAAAATGGCCACTTTTAAGAAAATTTTAAGAAATTGAGCAAATATTTGACATTCCAATTTATATAATTTCTATCGGAAATACACCAGAATATTTTACTTACTGGAAATAATAAATTTAATACTTTAGCTTTAAAGCTAAAATAAAATCTTCAAGAATGCTTTTTCATTTTTAAAAATTCATTTTAAATCTTAGGTACTGAAAAATTATGTCAAAAAAGTGGAGGTACCTAGTCCAGTCCTAGTTTTTTATAGTAATCCTTTTTTCTATGCAGAAAAGCAATGACAACTTTTGGTTTTTTTTTTTATAGTAAAGCTTTCTTTTTAAATTAAAAAACAAATTAAATAATAAAATAAAGCTTTTTGTTTTAAATTTAAAAAAAAAAACAATTAATGCAGGAACTTTGAAAAGAGCATGAATATTTACAAAATGAAAAAATGATCCTTTCTAAGATTTTTTTTATTTTGTAATTAATCATGCTCTTTACAAAGTTCGCGCATTAATTATTATTTCCTTTCTAGCATTTTTTTTTTATTTTGTAATTTTATTTTGTAGATAATCATGTTCTTTACAAAGTTTGCTTTATCTGAAAATGAACTTCATTTCTCTGGGAAAATCTGTCATGTGTTAAGAAAGATTATTTTTTAAATTAGTCATGGTACCTTTTTTGTTTTCAAATTAGTGAACATTACAATATTCAATAAAAAAAAAGTACCAAAAATTTTATAAAAATGTTATGCCTAGATTAATTTATTCATAATCAAAGACACTGACTTAAGTACCTCAACAAAAATTTCTAAAAAAGAGCATAGCATGATGAAAATAATTTTTTACTGTCTAAATTTTCATGTTATTATCAAGAGGAAAGATCAAAATATTTTTGGCGTATTTTTTTACATTTCTTTTAATCATGCCTAGCACATCCAAAATTTTCGTTAAAAATCTTGTTTTTTTTTTTTTTTTTGAGTCAGAAAATCGATCATGCCAACCATTTTATCCATTTTATAAAAAAAAATGAAAATCTCCATTTAAAATTCTTTTAAAAATCAATTTTTTCAAACTTTATTTTAAGAAAATTAGAAATTATAAAGTTTGTTTGAAATATTTTGAAACAAACATTACTTTGTGACACTATTTAGCTTTTGGCTAATTAAGCGTGAAAATTAAAAGTGAGAAATACTTAAGGCGAGAAGAAGCTATCACGAAAGACATACTAAGCAATGTTATTTTTTTTAACAGAAGAAAAGTGGTAAAGATTTTATTTTCATTTGCGAAGAAAAGTATTTTTTTTTGCAGAAGATAGGAAGTTCCTAAGATCTCGGATCTGTCAGAATTAATTTATGCCATGACGCGGCGAGTAACGGCAGAGTGCGAATAAAAGATAGCAATCTGCTCATGGCAATAATGAAAATTTCAAATTGGTCAAGTGGCTTACAAACGGAATGCTGGAAGATAATCAGAATTTGGGTCGAGCATATGACCGAGATAGAATCAGCTGAGACCACCCCAAAGAAAAAAGGGAAAAGA